GCTATGGCAATTTGAACTCATCTATGTACGTACGAAGTTCTACGTTGTTGCCGACTGAAAGACACTCAACGTCTATAATCATCGACGATGATAATAGGGCAGACCCTGGTTTAGTATTCTACACTAACCAACACGACTTCGTCCAACAGCGGATCTTTTCAAGGACTACTGCTATGTTTTGGTTATTATTTCTTATGAACGTCTATTGTTGACTTTGTATTTGTGATTACCTAACAATTAGCTATAATCATGTCGTATTGTTTGTCTGAATCCCCACATGATGCACAAATGCCTATAAGAGACTGATCAATTACAGTCCTAAACATCAATAGGAAGATTCAAAAGAAATAATACATCATAAATTTACAATTCATACAAATGCACAAGCTAACAATCATCAGAATGTTTTAGCTAAGTGGATAATACAGTAGCATTTAAAGTGGATGGTATTGAGTTCTAGTAGTCTAGTAGTGAGCATCAACTCTGGAATACAGGTATATCTAGTCGATGGATCTTCAATTACAACGAAATGCTTGATCTGGATTACAATGCTAGCCATTATCAATCTTTAAATTAGATCATAGTTATTTTTTAGTTTATCAAAACAGTCAAAATCGCGGTTTTATTTACTTCATATTTCTCTTTTTAAAGAAATGATACTTGTCGTATGATTTAAGAAAACTTTAATAGAATAAATCAAATCATTATCTACTGAATATCTTTTCTTACATTTTATGCAATATGATAGGATTAAACTATTATACACATATTATTGTCTTTTTTTAATTAACCTAAAAGTATATTGTCTAATTAAACAAAAGAAACTATAGAGTTTAACATCTTTATACTTGAATAATCCGAATTTGATATTTGTATAAAACCATTTCAATTAAAAAGGTCTTCCTTCTCTTTAAATTATACAACTAATTAGAATAGACTTTATTGTCATTCTTTTCTCATTTATAAATATGAACAGTTCAGAAGATACATCACTATCGTCCAATAACAATAACAATGTACATATATATATAAATATATGTATATATATATATATATATATATATATATATATATATATATATGGTGCCATCGCACTATTTAAAAGTGTTGTAAACAACGTCAATAATAAACAACTATTTATTCACAGAATATAAGTTGAAAGTAAGTATTGATTTCAATATTTCTCCTATCAAATTAATTTACTCTGTCCATTGATCTTATTCATATCACTAAGAACCAATTTTTCCTTAAGTATTAAGCTGTATTACTTTTAGGGTGGTGGTGTTTTTTTTCTATTTAGAAATATAATACAATTCAACCGAGATATCAGCTCATTGAAGACAATGGTGTACAGTGGCGCAACTTCATGGATTGGTTGAAGTTAGACATTTCAGTGGTTTAGTGGTTGAGTGCTCGCGCGCGAAACCAGTAGGTCCTGGGTTTGAGTCTCGTATGGTGCGGGATCGAGGATGCGCACTGTTGAGGAGTCCCATACTAGGACAAGACGGCCGTCCAGAGCTTCCAGGTTTTACATGGTGGTCTAGCTTCAATTGACTCATGATTTCAACCTGTGAAATTTCTAAAAATTTCCACAAAACCCATTTTGATAATTCATTATATGTGAAAATTATATTTGAAATAATCTTAGCAATTGAAATTCAAATCATTCCAACATTTCATTCAGCAAATATGATTTCCAAATAAGACGACGGTTAGAAGTAGTCAATAGTAAATACTGTCTAACTCTAATTACTATCTTATCTCAACATAGTTCATGTAATATTGAGTCACCTAAACTTGGCCATATTGTAATTTGATCGATAGGATTCAATCTGTACTTAGAAGGATCTAATATATATGACATTGATCACTATCCAGTGATCAATCAATTGTAAATATAATTTTCACATATAACAGCTTCTATATAGTCGGTGGTCAATTTTCGTCAAACGATTCGTTCTAATATTGACGAATATTCGGACAAAGGATTTAATTTTTAATAGCTGTTAAATAATTCTCTCTTATATATAATCATAGTTTATTTGATAGATGAAAATTGACAGTTATTTAGCCAACGTAGTAGATAAGATCAAAAAAGAAATAAGGAATTCGATAAACATTTGCCTAAACTTAAGCTAATTAGAGAACAGGTAATCAAAATTGTAGATCAATGAAGCGTTTTTTAGCAAGTTAGTTTTCTACAGGATGGGGTCGCTAACCCCATGCCCAACCCTCCTCCTTTGTCCGGGCTTTGGACCGGCAGAAGCCGCCGGAGGGACTCCAGATGGAGTTGTAGGTCAATGAATATATAATCTATATAATGCTTTTACATAACTTATAAATTTTTAAAAGTTAATTAAATGGATAAGAATCAGCCAATCAGCGTGCACCAAAGCAATCATGCATTGAGCATGCTTTAATCTAGTCTATGTCCCGCTAACACATTCATATAAGTGAAAATTTACCGTTCGATCAACTCGCTTTGAAATATCTCCATATATATCATACTTTCTTTCTGAAATGACTATTTCATCGCAATCATAAGTAACACTGTCTTCATTAAGATTTCTGAGCATGTATTCCAGTAATTTTGATACCATTACATGGCTGTAACTAATGTGTATACGGTTCAATTCATTATTCAAAGCATCTATCTTTCAATATTCGACATTGTAACAGTGAAACAAAGTTAACCATTATAGACTAATTAGGTCTATTTGGAAATAGTAAAAAAGAGATTATCAATAGATGAGTACAATAGTTTCGTCTTTAAACCTCTTATAAATACATCTAACCATTATGTCGTAGTTGAATTTCATTGATTTATGGAAATATTTAAGTAGTTTTACTCTCTTAACCTTCAATATTTACATCTCACTATCACCGTATTTTTTAGTAGTTTATTTATTGATGAAGCAAAATGATGAATAGGAATTGTTGAGTATTATACTAACCCGTGATTGTACAAGAATTTATTGATAAAAAGACAATATTTATAAACCAAGACGTATCATGATATGGAAAATAAGTAATATTAATTAATGATTCCGATAGCTGATGAGTTCATGGATATGTATTCCTAGAACAAAACAAATGTCTAATGTATCCTAGTTAACAAGGTTTATTCTATGTAAGACTAGTTTATAATGTATATATATACAACAATAAAAAGATAAAATGTCACAAGTTTGTAAACCATGAAGGGACGTAATGTTCTGTCTGAGCGAAAATGATTGTCAACCACATTAGTTACTAAATATGAGTAAGTAGTATAATAAAATACACAAAAATGTACCGAAAAGTGAGTAAATAAGAATAGAACGTACTATCAAAATCAACAGATATTTAGTATATTTCATTATCTAACTCACAGATTACGTTATACGATCTAAATATATCCACAGGAATTTGTAATTTATCATAATTCCTACGTTACTAAAAAATATGAAGAACATTATAAGATTAGATATGAAATAGTTTCGGTTATTTCAACAAGTTTCAGATCACGGATATTCTTTCAAAATGAAAAAAGCTAAAGAGAAGTATCTTAGTAACTATTAACTGTAGTTACAAGCTTTACTACACAGTTTACAATTATAATTATATTTTCTTGAGGATGTTATGGTTACTGAACTGTATCAGTTGGAAGACTTAAGCCACCCAGCACAAAGAACACAATACAGCCAAAATCTTCATGAAGAAATATGAATCTTCTCCATCATTTTAATTACCAGTGAAGTTCAAATATTAATTAATAAAATATGGCTAATATATAGAGCAAACAATTTTCCATCAATAAAAACTGTATAACTGAATTGTGGCTAATAAAATAATAAGATTCATCACTTCCTATTTAACAAAAGGTACTAGGTTCTAGACTCAATACAAACAATAATACTGTGGTACAGGTACCATCAAGAGATTAGTCCCAAATGGAGTAATACTCTTGGTCTGGATTCCATTGCTAGCAATGATCCAAATATAATAAATGTAATAATCACAAGATTATATCAAAGCAATCTACTTAGAAAGAGTACATTCTAACATAGGTTAGTCAGTTTCAGTCAATAATATCGAAAGATTGAAGATTTCTAGTAACTTTTTAGATATTATTGAATTCTCGGAAGTAGACTGTTTGATTGATGAGTCCTCGTTTCCGTTCAGGACAAAATAATTCGATTTTATAATACATATAGAATTTGAGATATCCCAATCAGTAGAAAATGATATTTCTGGCTTTTCGCAAGTACACTACGTTGTACGATTCGAACCTGTATTAATCTCGTTTTAGTTATTTATTTACTTTGAAGAAGTAGCTTACATTATGTTACGAAATATCAGAAATATAATTTTCTATTCCTCAGGAATATTATAAATTGTTTATTTATTATTAACTTTTTACCCAATGCTCAATTTATTTGAAACTATTCAGTTCAATCTTGTCATTGATATTTATAATTTTATAAAGGGTAAATTAATTTCTTTGAATATCCTTCTTCATGATTAGTTGTGTTTCATATATTTGGTTACTTTCTTGTATCCTTGTATACAAGAAAAAACATATTCAAATTAAATACAAGGATGAATGAAAGCAACCAATTGCAAACAAGAACATAAGGAAGAATAAATGTTAATGATGTTGTGTAGAATTCAATGACAACAATAAAGCATTCATCTGAGCTGTAAATCTCCACAATCTAAAAAAATTTTACACATTAGTAATTCTGAAAGGATTCCTACAAAAGGTTAAGTGTTCGCATGCAAGACTGTTAGTTTCTGGGTTCTAATTTCGCAGGGCGGGATCGTGGATACGCATTGCTGAGGAATCCTACAGTAGGATGAAACAGTCATCCAGTGCTTACAAATATTCCATGATGGTCTAGTTTTCATTGACTCTTGAATTCAACTACTAAATTACTACAATTTCCACAAAACCCCTCTCTGATTATTAATGCTTTTTATTTCCATTAGGAAATTAACATTTGATTCTCTTCCTAAACATGACTAAAGAACAATATCATTCAGATTTTGAAATGGGAAGTGATACAGATGAGTCAGATGATAATTCCATTGATCATGAAGATTTTTATCGACCTAAAAACAGAGAACCTATTGATAATACAGAAGTAAAATTGACATTAATGCAAAGAGCACGTAGACGTCCAGGTGAGTATTCTACTTATTCATTATTATAAACAATATTGTTTTAATGATATGGATAATTGAATTTTTTGTAGAAAAAAAGGTTGCTCAATTAGTTAAGTGATTAGGCATAAACTTATATCCAGTGAAGAAATAATGTAAATAAAGATGTAAATGAATACTACTTTCTTTGTTGTTTGATAGTCTCTTTTTTACATGACTAACTGCTAATCATATCAGGACCTAAGCTATATCTTTGAAATATGAATAAATTTGAAATTCAATGAATTGGCAAACTACAAATTGAACTGAAATTTACTGACACAAAATTATACAAATAGTCAGTGATCGAAATCAAATGAATACATCACACTGTATAAAATCATGTCTGCGTAATTGGATGTAGGTCTTCGATTCCAGACTAACTTTAATGGACGTACTAACATTTAATGGTTCGTAATCATCAACGGATTCACACTAATTGATGAACAATGAACTAATTAAGGTTGGTTCATAATGTAGACCACAAACTTCAACATTTCCTACAAAACCTGCTACGGAACTACCAATTATACAAACAACAGTGACTGAGTTTCAGAAGTAGTTCACAGAGCTTTAGTGAAAATTTTGCAACCAGTGGGACTTAGTTGTATCAGATATGAGGCAGGTAATTATCAGAGATGTTAGTGTTATATTTTAAATTGATTGGAATGAGAACTCAGTAGTTCAGACAGTGTGACACCTGAAATGTTCTAGGTTAGATCCTCGGTGGAATCGTAAATGCACGCTACCGAAGAGTCCTACACACGACCTATAAACTCGTTTTAAGTTTCTCGACCTTCAACCATTGTTTGACTAAGGTCATTCCGAGATACAAATTACACAATTTAAGGAGAAACAAGCAACATTAGTTTTTTATTTACTTTTGAGCAGCGCCAAAAATCTCCAACTACCTAGGAATCAGCTGCCAGATTAAATTCAAAATATTGAAAAATAGAAGTGTCCGATATAATTTCACGAAGCTGATATCGGTTCGAGATTCGTAATGTACACAAATCCCTACACTTAGTCGTATGCTCATGTCATATAAATATATTTATATTCAAATAGATTAGTATATTTGTGTGTGCATACATTACTCTTACATTAAATATGAACACTAATATGTTTATGTTTTTAACTTACTTTATGCATGATCAAGGAATATTCTGCTTCATTTTAATCGGTTTTGGCGTACTAATTGCGACGACTGTAGTGTTAGTTTGGACTGTTATCCGTATTTATAATAAATAAAATCAGAATTTATTATGCATCTGTTTTTCTATTGAAAAAGCGCTGGAATTTCATATATGAATAGACATACTGATTCAAGAAAAATCCGATACATAACGAATTCGATTCGCTAATATATATAAACCAGTTAGTCAGTCATAAGGTAGAAATTGTAGGTATGTACACCGGTTCAAATTGCCATACTCCATTAACACACTGAGATGTTGTCAGCCCAAATCTCAGAATAGTAACAACAATATCAATGATAATGAGCAGACTAGGCATTGAAGATACAACTAGGAAAAGTATAAATTAGTAAGATAAAAACCGGCAAAGTGAGCAATTAAGGAGCTCAGAATTGGGGGAAGACAAAGATCGGATGTATCTGCGCAATTGCAAACGATTTTGCAACATGCCATTCGAAATCTATGACTATTGGTCACGATAATCATGCAAACAATAACCAGGTGGTCTGTATCAATTAACATTATTAAATCTAGTTGTCAGTGACTTTATGATGCTAAGTTTCAGATTGCCCGCCACTACCTTTCTTCGGGCTACTCCTACGCCCACAAAATAGAACGAAACGAACTGCTGCATAGTAAACTGACCCTACCGTTTAGAGACGAATATCTCACCTACGCCATAAGTTATGCTTCAAACAAGATGCAATAGCACTTAGCTTAAAATACTTAGATAGGAAAATAGATGCATCAGTTTCAGTAGATTGCTTAAAACTACGTATCAAACAAAGAACGATAAGTCATACAACGTAACAATGTTAAATATTAAGGTTAGATTTGTTTTGTTGTGTACTTAATTAGTATATATATTTAACTCGGGAAAAACTAGTCAACTATGGATACAATATATCCATCGTATCGAAAAAGGGAATTAGTCCAGAAACAATCAAGTCAAAACTAGCAGTTCCACAATGTGAATACAGTGAATAGAAGTATTAGATTATTATGTAATGATATGAATGAAAGAAAAGTCAAAATCCGATTGATTTAATAATTATGAACTTTGTTCAACAGTACTTCCTTTCTGATTCAATATGATAATCATTCAGTATAGTAATTGTTTTCTTTTCTCGTATGATATTTTATTCTGTATAATATGCGATATTCTTGTATTCCATTGACATGAACTATGCTCAGTGTGTGATTTGTTATAACTCATATATGTGATTTCATTCTAATTATTAATTAAAATGGGTGTACAATCAATATATAAGTGAGATTATTTTCGACTACGGTTGTCGTCCACATTGTCTGGAATAGCATTCCTTTCACTAGTCTTGTCTTCTCATTGCGACTTGGAAGGGTTCTAGTGCTCAAGTTATACACAGTATATCAAGAATATAAGCTCTAAATGTAACAACTGGCGACGAGGTTATCTTATCAAGATGTCATTTATCTTTGAACAATTTGAAGCCTCACTACCATTGATTTTGCAGTGAGGCTCTTCTATTGAACCGGAAACTTAATTCATTAACTACCGTTAGTACTGAGTTTTTATACACACACACAAAGAAATATCTGTGTAACTTAATGTTTGTTTCAAAATTATGCAACCGTTACAATCATTTTATAAAACAGTCAATTTTAATGGAAATTTTACTATAGCTAATGAAAGAATGTATAAAATTGATGACATTTCTAAATTAAGTTTATTTTTTCTTATTCCAATTAGCAGATAAGTGCATTTTTCTCAATAATAAAGATTTTATAAGTGTTCAAAATAATTAATGATTGCCATACACATAATTAAGCATTATGAAGTCAATAGTGAACAATCTGATATGATATAAAGATGATTAATGTGAAAGAGTATGAAAGAAGTAATTACAAAGAAAAACAAAACTTGAATCTTCCTATTGATCAATCTCTTATTGGCATATGTATACTATGCATATTGACTCGATATTGCCTTAATTTACAAGCATTATAAGCAAAGATAGATAGTGGCTAACATTGTAGACAGAGTAACATCATTTTATAACATTCCAAGACTTTTCATCATCAGATAAAAACAGTCTTCATTCAAATAATTAAAATCACTTTGGAACATTTAACATACTATAATGAATGAATTTACATTCGAAATCATAAAAAGAAACGAAATAAAACAAGCAAAGAAACAACGTAACATAATTAACACAACAGTTAGGATTGATTAATATTTGTATGTTGATGATGTATTCGCAGTTCATGATGAAAACCCTAAATCTTATTATTAACCCTAACCATTAAATGAGAGTTCTTACTGCTTTATAACTCTCATTTAGTCCTAATTAATAGTTGTTCACTTTCGAGGTCACTTCAGCGTCGCTCAAAGGTCGTTCATAAATTATAGTACTACCGAAACAGTTAACAAACCAATAATAATCAAGATAACTAGTTAACAAAAAGATCAAGATAACATTGTGAATGAAGTTTCGTGGAATTAGTGGTTAATGGTTTATATTCGATTGCAATTGGCTACAATATCAGATATTACGTTAATCTCTAGACGAACATGGAATTTAATTGGTTGTCTACAAGTACTGCCAACTGAGTACACAGCTCGGAATGCACCTGGAGACATATTATAGCTTGTTGAAATAATAAAACCCTCTGCTGAATTCCGAGATAACTAGTTCAAAGGAAATTGTTATTTAACGAGCAAACATGATTTAGACCTTATTGGTATAGATTGAATAGACAAACTAAATCTATTGGACGTACCACTGAGCGAAATATATACGATGAATACAGCTGTACCAAAGAAATTCAAAGTCAATGGAAGACAGCAGCTTATAATGAACCAACTTCTTATCCCTTTTTTTTCATGTCAACTTACTAGATTTGGGTTCTCTTAATGATGCACATAATTTTGAAATTTCATGTTAAAATGAGATAAATATGTTCGTTTAGAGAATAATGTGATATCTGATATTGTAGTTAATGGTAATCGGATACGAACACCATTAACCATTAATTCCACAAAAGTTCTTTTATCTTCTATGCCTAGTGCAAGTGTAGCATACATACTGTTTATACACTTGTTTTGATACTGGTGAATACGTCTCGTTGGCTCTGATCTCAAACTTTTTCTAGTTCGGTAGACTTTCTTTATGGTCGACTTTATTGTATATAATGATTTCTAAACCGGCAAACTACTGAGAATTGTCACGCACCACATAACCAACATTTAGTAAAGGGTCTGGAATTTTTCGAGTGATATTTATAACTTTTGGTACCATTTTGTCTCCGATCTGTTTTGATGATATGAACAGAGTGGTAAGATTGCACCACATTTTTGGTTTCCAGAAGAGCTGTATCCAGTTATAAGTTTATTAATCGTTAGCATTCAGCAGTGACAGTTTGTAACGTCATGTTGCTTACAGGATAACAACCTCATGAGAAAGTCAGCAACGACGGGAAAGTTCAAACCAGAAGTGAATAATAAACATTTGAATTTATCACTGGTTAATACATTTAGTTTAAATCGTTCTGTTATGATTTTATGTCTGTCTTTTTATCGCGTGACTTATCCATCAATCAGGATACGACTTATAAAAACATTCACACTATGCCAACCAATGACGTTCAGCCAGTGTGGGCAGTCTAGCATCCTTGTTGGTCCTATGTCCGCCTAGCCCGTCCGCTTGAGTTCAGAACACAATATCAGCTTCTGTAATATGAATCTAATGGAATCGTTTATTTCAGACATAACTCGGTTTATATATCAACCAGGCAGACCACAACGTACCATAAAATAGAAAATAACATTTGTA